CTGTATTGTTCGGTACATGTTTGTATGTTTACACACACACACACACACACACACACACACACACACACACACACACACACACACACACACACACACACACACAGTATGAACACATCATCACCCTTACGTGAGAAATGTTCCTAATGTCCATTTATATCACCAGCTGCATTTAATTCTTTTGGACTATACCACTTATGTGTTGCCCTGTTTCTTCCCCTCAGTGTGTGTATGTGTTCATGAGGGGAAACCTGTCTCTGCCATGTGTCTCTACCCCTTCGGTATCTTCTACATTGTTATCATGTCTCTGCTGGCTCTTCTCTCTCACCCGTGAATGTATATGTGCACATACATAGGAATGTTTCAGGGGAAGAGAGGTTTAGTTCTTGGACCCCGCCTCGTAACTCTTGGTTCTCTAGCGCAACCTCTCCCAACTTTAAAGTGCTTTGCGTATCTGCTTTATAAACTGCTTAGTGAGTTCCTTCCGCCTTCAAGTGCGTTTCTTCCGTCTTCAAGTACGTTCCTTCCACCTATCAATCACTCGCTCACTACAGGAAAACTTTTTTACAGGCTCAGTACAGCTTCCACTGTACCAACCTGCTTTGTATAACAATATTCCTGTTTAACGTTAAATCAGCACTCGATCAACGTTATTTCGACGTAGGTTGCCTAGATTTGCTCCCGAGGTGGGTTAGTATCTTGTATATTGTGATCATGACTTCTCCGTAGCAAAGGAACAATTCAAGTCATCTGTATCTATAAGAAAAAATGCCTGTTTGTCAGAGGTTGGAGGACAGACGTTCAGGGCTAGCCTCACTCAATTGTTACATTTCTTCACTGGTGGTGGTCGTAGGTGTGGAGGTGGATGCTGTCCGGTGGTGGTGGTTGTGGAGGTGGTAGCTGTCCGGTGGTCGTGGTGGTGGCAGCTGTCCGGTGGTGGTGGTGGTGGTAGAGAGAGAGAGGCAGCGCTTCAGTCATACATGCCAATTGCCTACCGGCGATAACCTAACCTTGACACACTTGTGAATACAAGTGTATTTGCGTCTGTTTTCAACACACCTCAATATATGTTGCAGTTTGAAAATACACATACGGTTGTGTGTGTGTGTGTGTGTGTGTGTGTGTGTGTGTGTGTGTGTGTGTGTGTGTGTGTGTGTGTGTGTGTGTGCGTGTGTGAGAGCCACGCCCTCCACAAGACCACTCAGCAACCAAAAACAGCCTTTAAACCACCGGCGGCATGGTGTTTACTGATTGTTAGTGGTGATAGAGGCAGTGGTGATGACAGTGGTTGAGGTGGTGGTTATGGTGGTGGTGGTTGTGCTGGATGGGGTGGTGGTAGGTGTTGTGGTAGCAGTGGATTGTTGTAGAGCAGCTCTGACAACGTGTTAGTGATGGCACCACAACTTGTCAGAGCTATATATATATATATATATATATATATATATATATATATATATATATATATATATATATATATATATATATCTATATATTATCACTAACAACTCTAAATACAGTGGTCTCGGTATTGTGTACGTTTAGGGGTGGTCATGGGTTCGAATCCTGGGCGGGGTCATATAGATTTCTTAGTGTTCTTTGGCTTGCACGTATACAGATACGCTGGAGTTTATAATATACTACAACAGTCCTACATGGCCTGACCTAATAGGAGTCACGGCATGTCCCCATCCCCGTGATTGCCACTCCGTTAGAAATACAACCTTTTAACCTAAACAGAAGGGTACGAACCAACCTAATCTATCGAGTCCGATGGATAGAAAACGCATATGTTTCCGACCCGTTACTTATCTAAATAGGTTGCATGTGGAACGTAGGTTACGATAATAAAATCATTACTCAGCACCTCAATACTAGTCTACGAGTCACCTTCATAACCGTAATTCAATAATCACGAGTCAGCTGTTGGTGGAAAATAACAAAAGAATGACAAAATGTGTCATTAAACCCACCAAACTTGGGATCCAAGAGTCTTCAGTAAGTTGCGAAACTCGACTGTGTAATCGACAGTCAGCTGGTCGTCGTCCCCCCCAACCCTCCCTCTCGCTCACTAGCCACACCCATATTATCTATCACCTTTTGTTTTTTGTGCGTCACAGGGTACTCTGTATGCATCGCCAGTCATGCTCTTGTGTCGGTTCGAAATATCACAAGACAATGACACGCTGTTAAGATCTGAACCCGTCCTCAGAGAGCCTGTCCTCAGAGAGCCTGTCCTCAGAGAGCCCGTCCTCAGACAGCCCGTCCTCAGACAGCCCGTCCTCAGAGAGCCCGTCCTCAGACAGCCCGTCCTCAGACAGCCCGTCCTCAGACAGCCCGTCCTCAGACAGCCCGTCCTCAGACAGCTCGTCCTCAGACAACCCGTCCTCAGACAACTCGTCCTCAGACAACCCGACATCCATGGCCAGTGAGGCGTCTTGGGAAGATGGGGTTCCCACGACGCATCCATTAATGTTAACGCATTGTGCATTAAAAACAGGCTTCTTCTCATTTCTATTTTAATATTATTATATATTAAAGTTCTGTGTATAGTTAGACGTAAGTAAGGTAAGGTGTTTTAATTCTGGTGGCGATTATTTGTGCTTGAAGTAGGTGGGTGAAACATTTATAGAATTGTGATTCGAACAGAGGTCGTCAGCGAAGCATTGTTCGAGAAATGTTCAAAACTCATCAGGCGTGAGTCGTGTGTGTAAACCGCCTTTTTAATAATAAAAAACAGGGTGATTTGGCTGTTGGATTAACGAGTATTTGGCATTTGTTGACGAGGACGGACTGTAAGATCTCCCTAACCAGTCCGTCCTCATCATCGAAGGCCAATGTTTATTCCATGAAGCCTTTAAACGTCCTGTTTATGAATGGACAATTATTTACATACGAGTCTCAACTGACGACGTTCGAACATTGTTCGAATGACCACTCAGTAAATGCTTCACCCACGGAACTTGAATACCTAACCTATCCTATGTCTATATGCATAATATGCCAATATATTATATAATTTATAATTGAGAAAATTCAAATTTTGAATGCACGGCATGTTTAAATTTATGAATGCGCCTGTGGGGTCGTCCGTTGGATGGAATGAACATATCTTGGAGAACGGATGGTGCTAACTTGAGCTGAATATATACCCATAACAACAAATTGCGACACACTGCATTACAGGTGTTCATACAAGTTAATATTAGAGGGTTGTAAGCCTCATTTGATCTATTATGCACCCTATAACCCTCCGTCTGCAGTAGCAGACCCTATACCCATCCCGTGGGCGATAGCGGAAAAGGTTACAAAGGTACATAATGAGCTCGGGAACTGAACCCCCAAAATTTAGCTAAGTAACAATCTTGTTTAGTTACGTAGTTAATGTCACATATTAAGAGTCTCTGCTGGTCGACGCACCTTATTAACCGCCATGTTTAATATTAAACTGATGTTATCACCAGGCCTGATGTACGGATGTATCAACCAGCCCGTCGTCCTCCTAAGGTTTCCCAACGTCAAGAAAATGGTCAGTTTAAAGTAGTCTCTCCTAACCTACCAGAGGACCCAAAACAGAAAACGGGTCAGTACGTCACTTTCGCGAGTCGCTTTCATTTTCTAGTACGACAATGTTTGGCCTTATGTAACGCATACGAGCGGAAAAGCGACGTTCTTTGTAGGAGGACAGGTTGAAGAGAGAATGGGAAGAAGATTGGTTAGAACAGATAGTAAGGACAGGTTGTGGTGGGATGGGGGTAGAGAGAGAGAGGGTAAAGAGAGCGAGAGAGAGAGAGTGAAGACCGCGAGAGAGAGAGAGAGAGGGAGAATGTGGGGGAAGATAATGCATGGAACAGTAACACATTGCAGGTATGATATGTATACAGGTGTGTGTGAGTGAGCTACAGGTGTGTGAGGGAGATGCAGGTGTGAAAGGGAGCTGCAAAAGTGTGAGGAATTGTCTTCCCCCACACAAAAGAAAACATAGGAATTAATACTTGAAAATGGGGTCAACATAAATCTCATTGTTTACTGTCTGGCTGGAGGCCAAAGGCATTGTTCGCACGTATGATCGTCGACTCGTAACCTGGTACCTAGCACTTCATGTTGTATTCTGACCCCGGGAACAATATCATGACCTCAGGGTAACCTCTGAGCGCAGGCGGAAAGCGTACAATAAAATGCTATATGATCTGTGACCTCTATTGGGGGATTTCTCGCTAGGTCATTCTGTTGACACAATCCCTGAACTAATTGAGAGCTAAGGAGACTTTTTTTTTGTTTGGTTTGCTTCGTGGTTTAGTTTTGTTACTTATAAGAACCTAATTACATCATAATCTTAATCCTAATCTTAGAATCGTGAGTCCTAATTACAGTCTAGCAGGTTTCGAATACGATTACCTCTTTCTACTTGGTTTCTTCTACGATGTTCTGTCTACCTAGTTTCAAAATAATTTGCAACCTCTTAATTCAAAGTAATAATTTACGAACAAATTACTTGCTAAAAAACCCAAGTAAAAATTTGTCCCTAGAAATAGTTTCTAAGACAAATATAACCCTTGATTTTATTCTGAATATTGTAGTATATTGTATATTATCACTAAGGGTCTTGCCTCTTCTTTATTTTATTGCACAGCTTTGTATAGGAGTAGGAGAGTTTTGACTCCTGTTAGTAGGCTTCGAGCTCATGAGCTCGAAGTCTTACCTCATACTAGTATGAGGTCGAACCTTACCTCATACTAGTTTTCCTTGGAACGCCACGAACTATGAGGTTCCAACCAGGTCCTCAATTACAGGTGGGTGAACAGGGAAGAACAATTGAAAGGAATGGTGCCCAGTTAACTTTCTCTGGCCAGGATTCGAACCCAGACAAAATGGCTCGCAAGGCGCTTATATTATTGGTTGTAACTTGTTATATATTGTCACTAAGGTCCATGACTTGGTTCCCGTTGATGGAGCATCGGCTGAAGATACAGAGACCTCTAAGGCGTGTGTTTATCTCCTTCCAGGAAGCACACAGACAGCATGAGGTGTAGCGACGGTCTCCCGCTGCTGCTGCTGGTGGTGCTAGCGGTCGGGACGCTAGGCTCCGGTCTCAAGATCAACCGTCAGCGACGTCAGGCGACCCAGTGCCAGCCTGGCGATATTTCGTGCGAGAAGTGCTCGAAGTCATGCAGCAGCGTGGAGGTGTCTCTTCTCCCAGAGTGTTGCGAAGCCTACAACACCTGCTGCGACGAGTATTTCCAAGCCTGCAAGGTGAGTTGGCGGAGGGGGTGTCGTCTGAGGAACTAAAGAAAACGAAGCTTTATTTGTTTGTTATGGTAAACTAACTTATAATAATTACATTATCCTTTTTTTCAAATAATTACTAGCGAAGGGTAATCTAGTACACTAACTCCTAGAATAAAGTCTAGAATGATTAGTTTTAGAGGCAAGCAAAGTGAGGTGATGTTGTTGGGTTAACTAACTCTTAGAATAGAAAGAGAATAGAAAACTAAGAAATCAAATCAAGGTGACCAAGACTTACTTACCAGTCTTTACTAAACTAAATCACAATCACAGACTGGCATATCATACGAGTGGAATGGTTAGAAGCCGCCAGGTAAACTAATAAATAACTGAACCAACGCCCTAGACTCTAAACACAAGCAGTTGACCAACGCTCGGCAAACATATAAATATGTATATCCTCATTTTTTCCTTCAAATAAATGTGAAGTGTAAGGAGAAGCGCTTCCTGTAGCCTCTCCTTGAGACTGTTCCTTTAGCCTATCCTTGAGACTGTTCCTTTAGCCTATCCTTGAGACTGTTCCTTTAGCCTATCCTTGAGACTGTTCCTTTAGCCTATCCTAGAGACTGTTCCTTTAGCCTCTCCTCGAGACTGTTTCTGTAACCTCTCCTAGAGATTGTTCCTTTAGCCTATCCTTGAGACTGTTCCTTTAGCCTATCCTAGAGACTGTTCATTTAGCCTATCCTAGAGACTGTTCCTTTAGCCTCTTCTCGAGACTGTTTCTGTAACCTCTCCTAGAGACTGTTGGTTTCGCTTCTCCTCAAGTCCTTCTAAAACTCAGATATACATCAACTTAGATACTTAATAACAGAGAAGTACACGAATAAATATATTTACCAATAGACATACAGTACAATTAATAAATGCGAGGCAAAATATATAACTTTAAACTCTTAACGAAAAATATTCCTTCTTTACATGTCGAGTCCCTGTACAAACATTGCCATGGCCGTTGCTGTACCCAGGAGTTATGAACTAAATGTTCTTCTCCTCCTCAGACTGAACACGATCTCTCCTCCACATAACACCCAGAACACCACCATAACTCGGAGAACACTTTAGGCCAACTGCCACGAATATGGGAACAATGGGACTTGTTGTTGGTGGTGGAGGTGTTGGAACTCACAACAGTAGTACAGCTGGACCGTTCCAGTGAGAGCGGTCCTCTCCAGCTGCTGAGCAGTAAGTTTCAGTGGCTCCTGTCTGTAGCTACCTTACCGGGTTTTACCTGTGATGTAACTTACTCACGCATGATGGAAATTGATCTTAACAGAAGGGAGAGGGAGAGAGAGAGAGAGAGAGAGAGAGAGAGAGAGAGAGAGAGAGAGAGAGAGAGAGAGAGAGAGAGAGAGAGTGCTTGTTACTTTCTAGGATTGGAAAGCTGTGTGTGTGTGTGTGTGTGTGTGTGTGTGTGTGTGTGTGTGTGTGTGTGTGTGTGTGTGTGTGTGTCTTTCTATATAAATTATATTCGTTATGCACATATAAATCATGCATACATTGTCTATGATTTTTATTATTACAATTATTATTATTATTATTATTAGTATTTTGACATATTTTTATCTTTATTTCAATCGTCACATTATTTTATTATATTTTTGCTGTTGGTGGGTTGGTTCAGAAATGTTCGAGCATAACAGCCAAAGACCAATATTTCCCTGAGTACTGCTGCGCCTCCTTCACCGACTGCTGCCATCTTATTACCACCTTCAGCACCCAGGTTAAGGTCAGTTGCTTGCCCTGCTTCCCCTGCTGCTTCGCCCCCCCCCCTCGTCCTGATCTACCTATCTACTCACTCACTTAATCTACATAATCATCTACCTTCCCACTTACTCTCCAGCGTGTCTACTTGAGTTGTATATTTTTTATGCAATTTGATTACATGCGTTTTAACTTGTATATCTATTTTTCTGTTAATCTATCTGAAGTGTCTTTCTACTGGCTTGAGGCTACTGTGTGTGCGCGCGCGCGCACACACACACACACACACACACACACACACACACACACACACACACACACACACACACACACACACAAGCATACAATGAGGGAGTGACGTAACACCACATGACTAGAGCGTCGACGGATTAGAAGATAATCACACGCACGCGCACACACACACACACACACACACACACACACACACACACACACACACACACACACACACACACACACACACACGCGGCTCCATTCATGAACGTTACGCATGCGCTCTCCCTCTGTCACTCTCACACATGCATGAACCCACACGCACACATGGCCATGCGCACATACATGTCCTCCCCCCCCCTCCCTCACGCACCATTACCAGTAAATTGCACCTGAATCATTAATTACAAGTGACTAGTGAGTGGATCCTCTGTGTTGTAGTGACGCCACGATGCATCATAGAACTAGATGCTCATTCGTACACACCCAATGTTGTTGTTGTCTTGAGTTGTTTGGAAATGCGGGACACTTCGCACACGCTACACCAAGTGAGGTACACACAGGTACACATGCACACACATGTAGCAGACAGGCACACATGTGCTGCTCAAACACACCTGGAACACACACGAAAATGTCAACATTACTCACAGATAATAATAATAATAATAATAATAAAGGTAATAATGATGGGTGAAGTTGATAATTAATGTCAAGTGAGCCGCGTCAGTGTTGTGTGTGTAACCGACCTTCTTCCGACAGCCACCTGAGCCGGTGAGGACTCCGGCTAAATCCGCCTCGCTAAACATCCCGACGGTGGCGGCCCCGAAGCCGGTGAGGTTCCCGGGCCTGAAGTCCTCGGAACCAGGGAGGCCCAAGAGCCAGAGTGCCGCGACGCTAGACAATGCCAAGGTCTCACAGCCAGGGGCGCCCAAGAGTCAATTCTCCCCGACGCTCCACGACAACGAAGGAGCAGCATCCGAAGCCAAGGACACCGCCGTCTTCGATGCGTTTCAACCCCCGGAAATCGAACCAGAAGTAGTGAAGCCGGCACTTTCCCAGCCCCCGGTTTCCCGACCTCCGGTGTCCCGACCTCCGGTGTCCCAGGCTCCGGTGTCCCAGGCTCCGGTGTCCCAGGCTCCTGCTCAGCGCGGCAGGAAGGCTCCGCCACAAGCCAGGGCTCAACCCAGACCTCGACAGCGGCAGCAAGGTGGCCGTCGACCAGCACAGGTAAGAATGTTGTAAACATTAAGTCTCCACAAGAGTCCCAGCTTCCCGTGACGCCTGGCGGAGGAGAGAGAAGTCTGAGTGAAACATTCGAACATATGTAGAGTCACCAGTATTTTTATACACAGTATTTGTCACTTGGTATGCAGTGTATTTGTTATGCATAGTTCTGTCACTAGGAATAAGTAAATTTGCTAATAATTTAAATAGAAAAGGGAACTCCTGATTAGAATAATTTATTAATTGAGTTAATTTAAGGAGGATGAATGACATTAGTAAGAGTTATTGAACTTATTCAGTCTCATCTAACGAAGGTATTAAATATATATATATTCTATATATATATATATATATATATATATATATATATATATATATATATATATATATATATATTCAATTGACGATCACAAAACACTGATCATTTTATGCGGAAAGTCCACAGAGAAATATGAAATGAGGTGAACGTTTCGGCTTTGTTAAAGCCTTTGTCAACACCAGACTGACTGAATCAGTCAGTCTGATTCTGGGGCCGCCACCGTCGGGATGTTTAGCGAGGCGGATTTAGCCGGAGTCCTAAACTTAAAATGGACTGAATCAGAGTGAGTCAGTCTGGTGTTGACAAAGGCTTTAACAAAGCCGAAACGTTCACCTCATTTCATATTTCTCTGTGGACTTTTCGCATATATATATATATATATATATATATATATATATATATATATATATATATATATATATATATATATATATATATATATATATATACATAGCTGCATTTAAATATAGATTGAAAATAACTAAATATGTTAACACTTACTGGCATAATGGTAATATTCATAACAAAGTAATATTCAAAGTTATATTTATATTTCTTTTCTTAGGGACTTGTCTTAATATTAGCTGATGTTTCTTGATTTCATCAGGACCTGGGCGACAGACGAGGTCGCATCACCTCCCGTGGGCGAGTCATATCCTAGTCCCAGCTGGTACTTCTAAGACTAGCTGGCTCTCGGCCCAGCTGGTTCTCCTATCCCCATCTAGTTCTCGCCCAAGCTGGCCTTCAGCGCGCTGGCTCTCTTCAGCTGGCCCTATTGGGTTCATCTTCCTAGCTCTCCGGCTTCTAATTGTAAAGTGGACTTCTTGAACCACCTTGCGTTAGAGCCCAGCTGGCCTCTCTCTCTCTCTCAGCAACCAAGTCTGGTCTCCTAGCTCAAGAAGGCCCTCCGCATCCTCTTAGTTCTAGGTGGCTCTTCTTACTGCCCTGGTCTCCAAGTTCTAAGTGGCTCTACATAGCCTTCCAGTTGCAGGTCTCAGACCCTTGGCTTTCTAATTCCAGATGTTCATCAACGCGCCAGCAATCCGAGCGGTCTCGATACCAAAAGTTCTCATCTCGATTTAAGTCCATCTCAACTCGCCTCTTCCCTCCAGTGATGATATTTTCAGAGACAACTGCACTCATCCCAGACAGATTATTTTTTTTGTATAGTATTTCAATGTTTGTTGGCTATATATTTCAGTAAAACCTCGATAGTTGTCATACACCATTTTCGTTGATAATGTTGAACTAAATTCGTCTCTAGGATTTTCTGGACATGAACTCTAATTTACTCTCATACATTGTGTACATAGCATCATCAACATCTGGATAACTACCTGTCTCTGTTTTTGAGGAGTTTGTACGTCCTTGTGAGGCTTTATATAAATTTCTGCCTTTCGGGGCTATCTTACCAGACAGCCAAATTCATCAATTTAATTCATCAATGTTCCTCCGTAGATTGGTTCTCCAGCGTCACCCACAGATGGTGACACAATGGCATTTGATAGTTGCAAGTGAAGTTGCTGGCCAAGATACATGTTGATATGACTTATCACTTCCGACGTAACGCTAATGACGCCCCTATCTTCATAAACCACCTGATGTTACAGAGAACACCTTAATATGATGCTTCTCCAGACTTCACTAGCCACTAAACATGCGTATTATGTTACCATCTAAGACTAGGGTCCCCCCAACATCACCGTCTCGTCTTTTAAAGTTATTCCCTCTTGACTGTTGAATTCTGTGACAGTTTCCCTTGGTACTCTTCTGTTACTTGTATGTTTTCTTCGTAACACGTTATCCAACCACCTATTGTTATCTCCTGTTTCCATCTGTTGTCATCTGTTTCCACCTGTTACTCGTGGTGATTCCTGCCAGCCCAGAGAGGCGTTCCTACCAGCCACATCCCAAACCTCTTGCCATTCCAGTCTGGCAACTTCCTACTATCAAACTGAAAGTCGTCATAATAAACATCTATAATTCCTCTCTGTATTTCCATTTCCTGTAACACACATTCCACGCTTTTATTAATCATTCCCCCCCCCTCGCCTGTGTTTTGTTTAGCTATGGTCTCCACACAGTACCCACCCGCCCACTTGTGCTTCATCTGCATGCCAAACAGTCAAAGAAAAGAAACTCTTACCAGTTGCTGTGGTGTGTGGAAACAATCACCTCTTGCCTTCATCTCTAACCTTCCACTGATGAAGCTCGTGAGGACCGTATATATATATATATATATTTATATGGCTTTTGGGGGATCAGGTTGACCAAACTCCTTTCATAAATGAACTTTATATACCCCCAGCAACCCCCCAAAAAAATCTATTCCTTCGCTGCTTTCCCCCAAAAGTCACTGTGTAAAACAGTAATAGATCCAGTCTCACATGTAGCACAAGAAAAAAAAAAGATCCTTACTGCCAAAACTGCAAGTCTCCTTATCTGCTTAGAAACCTAATAAGTGGCAAACATCTTATTTCTCCCAATTACCTCCCTACAATGCAATGGTTTCAGTCGAAAGCTTCCAAGGTCCTCCTCCTCCTCTTCCTTCCCAGAAGAGGATGTCACCCCTCACTCAAGCGGAGCATGGCGAGTGGCTCTCCAGTACCTACAGATCATCTCCTGTGGTATGCTTCTGACATCTCTCATGACCCCATAATGCTTTCCCAGCATGATTTCCATCCCCAGGGCCGTAGTAATAGTAGTAGTAGTAGTAGTAGAAGGGGTAATGATAGCGAAAACAAACTCTTTCCATTAAAGAATCAAATTCCTCTTCCTTGTGATGATTGAATGCGTAGCTCGACGTCTCTCTGGCCACACGACGGGGGAACGTGGCCGGTCGTGTGGCCAGTTAGACCGGAGGAGTAGTTTTGCTGGCCTGTGTCTTGGGGTACGTGCTTCTTGTCCTGTGGTGTGTGTGTGTGTGCATGCTGGTGCGCGTCTTAGTCTTCACATGTTTGACTGTCTGTACCTGGGGCCAGATTCACGAAAGCACTTACGCAAATACTTACGAACGTGTACATCTTTCCTCAATCTTTGAAGGCTTTGGTTACATTTATTAAACAGTTTACAAGCATGAAAACTTCCCAATCAGCTGTTGTTATTGTTATAAACAGCCTCCTGGTGCTTCGGAGCTCATTAACTGTTTAATAATTGGAAACAAAGCCGCCAAAGATTGAGAAAAGATGTATAGGTTCGTAAGTGCTTGCGTAAGTACTTTCGTGAATCTGGCCCCTGGATACCTGCCATCACCTATCCACACCTGTGTACCTGTCATTACACTTGGATACCTGTCTACACCTGTTATTACCTGTATACCTGTCATCATCCAGGTATCCTGTCTTAGCTACTCTCTCATCATCTTCATCTCCTTTTAATTATCTTATTGTTTACATGATTTTGTTATCTTCTCTTTGTTCTTGTTTCTCTTCTTGCTTCTCCCTTTCCCTTGTTTTCTGTTTTTTGCTCCTCATTTTCTATTGCTTCTCTCTTCTTATGTTTGTCTTATTATCTTTTCCTTGTTTCACATCTTCATTTTATTCAATTATCCGCAACCTTATTGACTGATTTTTTATTAGTTCCTCTTCCTCTCTTGATTGTCTTTTTTCTTCCTTCTTTCGCATATTGTTATCTTGTTCCTGCTTCTTCCTATTCTTGTTCCCCTCTTCCTCCTATTCTTGTTCCTTCTTCCTTCTTTTCTTATCATCTTTCTTCAATTCCTATCTTGTTCCTTCTTTCGCATATTCTTATCTTCTTATTGACTATCTTATTCGTCTATTTACCATTTTTTTCTCCTTCTCGTCTCTTCCTCTCATTGTTACTCTCTATTTCTTTTCAGTTAGTTTACTTGTTCCTTTGCTTCTATTTAGTTTCGTCTCACCATTCCTCTCCTTTTGCTATGTTTTTTCTCTCTTCTTACTCCTTGTTTATCTTCTCGTTGTTATTGCTCCTTCCATTTCTATCTTCTTTCCCTGCCTCCTATTTATAGTTTTATTGTTGTTTTGTTCTTCCTTTTAACTTTGTTCCTCGTTTCTCTTTGGATTCAATGTCTCGTTCTTTATTGTTTCTGTTCTTGTATCTTCTCTAATTGCTTCTGTTCCTCAGTCGTGCTCCTCTCTCTTGTTTTGTTCTTATGTTCTCCATCCGTGTTTTGTTCTTCTTTTTCTCTTGATTTTACTATTATTTTTGTTCTTCATGTTGCTGTTCTTGTTCTTGGTTTTATTCTTTATCTTCTTCATGCTGCTGTTGTTTATTTTCTTGTTCTTCGTGTTGCTCTTCTTGTTCTTCGTGTTACTCTTCTTGTTCTTCGTGTTGCTCTTCTTGTTCTTCGTGTTGCTCTTCTTGTTCTTGTTCTTCGTGTTGCTCTTCTTGTTCTTGTTCTTCGTGTTGCTCTTCTTGTTCTTGTTCTTCGTGTTGCTCTTCTTGTTCTTGTTCTTCGTGTTGCTATTCTTGTTCTTGTTCTTCGTGTTACTTTTCTTGTTCTTCGTGTTACTCTTCTTTTTCTTGTTCTTCGTGTTGCTCTTCTTGTTCATGTTCTTCATGTTGCTCTTCTTTTTCTTGTTCTTCATGTTACTCTTCTAGTTCTTCATGTTACACTTGTTGTTCTTCATCTTGCTCGTCTTGTTCTTCATGTTGCTCTTCATGATGCTCTTCATGTTCTTCATGTTGCTCTTCTTGTACGTCACGTTTCTCTTCTTGTTCTTCATGTTGATCTTCATATTCTTCATGTTACTCCTCTTGTTCTTCGTGTTGCTCTTTTTATTCTTGTTCTTCATGTTGCTCTTCTTTTTCTTGTTCTTCATGTAACTCTTCTTGTTCTTCATGTTACTCTTGTTGTTCTTCATCTTGCTCGTCTTGTTCTTCATGTTCCTCTTCATGTTCTTCATGTTGCTCTTCATTTCTTCATGTTGCTCTTCTTGTACATATTGATCTTCTTGTTCTTCATGTTACTTTTCTTGTTCTTCACGTTCTTCATGTTGCTCTTCTTGTTCTTCATGTAACTCTTCTTGTTCTTCATGATTTTCATGTTGCTCTTCTTGTTCATCATGTTCCTCCTCTTGTTCATGTTGATCTTCTTGTTCTTCATGTTACTCCTTTTATTCTTCATATTGCTCTTCTTGTTCTTCATGTTGCTCTTCTTGTTCTTCACTTTCCTATTCTTGGATCTGGTGAAGTATTTGTGACCATTCTTGATTCGCTGGAGTGAGGTATTCATTGAAGTGAGATATTTGCCGAAGTGATGTATTTGCCATAGTGAGGCATTCACTGGAGTGAGGTATTCGCTGGAGAGGTATTCGTCGGAGTGAGGTATTTGCTGGAATGAGGTATTTGCCATAGTGAGGTATTCGCTGGAGTGAGGTATTCGCCGGAGTGAGGTATTAGCTGGAATGAGGTATTCGCTGGAGAGGTATTCATCGGAGTGAGGTATTCACTGGAATGAGGTATTTGCCATAGAGAGGCATTCACCAGAGTGAGGTACTTGCCATAGTGAGGTATTCGCTGGAGTGAGGTATTCGCTGGAGTGAGGTATTCGTTGGAGTGAGGTATTCGTTGGAGTGAGGTATTCGTTGGAGTGAGGTATTCGTTGGAGTGAGGTATTCGTTGCAACAAGTGATGCCTTCAGGAAGCTTTTATGTAATGCATTTGACTATTCTTGTTTATGTTACTCTTCTTGTTTTCCTTCATGTTACGCTTCTTGTTTTCCTTCATGTTACGCTTCTTGTTTTCCTTCATGTTACGCTTCTTGTTTTCTTTCATGTTGCTCTTATAATTCTTAGTTTTCTTCTCCTGTATGTCGTTCTTTCTCTGCCGCTAATTCTCACTCTTTATCTTATTGCTCTTCATTCCTTTCTTTTATTCCTGCTTCTCTTCTTGTTCCTGTTCTTTCTATTTTTCTTCTGTTTTGTTATTTCTTCGTTCTTTCTGTTTTTTCTCATTCCTTTCCTTTCCGTTCTTTCTTTTATGCCTTTTCGCACCTGTTTTACTTCTCCCCTGTTCGTCTTCGACATGTCCCAATTTCCAATTATTTCCCATTTTCTTCCTCTTCCTCTTTCTTTTCTTGTTTTTGCGTTTTCTAATTTTTATTATTTTTCTAATGGTCCTCATCTCATTCTTCTTTTATTCTGTTTCGTATTCTTATTCCTCTTGTTATTTCATTACATTTGGTTTCTCTCCTGTTACTTGTCTCTGTTTTTTTTATTTCATTTTTCATCTTCTTAATTTTCTCATTTCACTACTTCTCATTTCTTTTGGTATTCGGTTTTATCAGTATTACTATTTTCTCTTGTTCGCTTCTTATATTTTTTAATGTTTCTCTTTTATGCTTCTTAATTTTTATTTTTTTACTTATTCTTTTGCTTATTCTATTGTAATTGTTGCTCTGTTCATTGTATTTGTTCCCCCTTATCGTAGTATCCTTGTTATTCTTGTTCCTCTTCCTCTTCTTCTCTTGTTAGACTTTCACCTCACACTGTTCTTTCTTATCCTCACACTGTTCTTCCTCATTCCCACACTGTTCCCTCTCATCCACATACTATTCTTCCTCATCCTCACACTGTTCTTCCTCATCCTCACACTGTTCTTCCTCATCCTCACACTGTTCTTCCTCATCCTAATACTGTTCTTCCTCATCCCCACCCTCTGTTCTTCCTCATCTTCACACTGTTCTTCCTTATCCTAACACTGTTCTTCCTCATCTTCACACTGTTCTTCCTTATCCTAACACTGTTCTTCCTCATCCTCACACTGTTCTTCCTCATCCTCACACTGTTCTTCCTCATCCTCACACTGTTCTTCCTCATCCTAACACTGTTCTTCCTCCTCCTCACACTGTTTTTTCTCGTCCTAACACTCTTCTTCCTCGTCCTGACACTGTTCTTCATGATCCTAACACTGTTCTTCCTCGTCCTGACACTGTTCTTCCTCATCCTAACACTGTTCTTCCTTATCCTTACACTGTTCTTCCTCATCTTCACACTGTTCTTCCTC